ATCTCGTTCCCCTGACAGTTACCCACTCCACTAGTGTCAGTCTAGTGTCCCTCTGACAGTTACCCACTCCACTAGTGTCCCTCTGACAGTCCTGTCAGTTCTTTGGTGAGTCTCGTCTCTTGAGTGCCCTCCAGTGGTGGCAGCCGGCACTGCAGTCAGTCTGCACACGCCCCCTGCGTCCCTGTGTCCTGTGTCCACCGTCCTCTCCCTGCCTCCGGGACCAGACTCTGATCCTTCTGGACCCTCGCCAGGAAGATTTGGCCTTTTTCTGGGGGTTTTCCCTTCCAGATGCATTTAGCAGAGGTTCCCACTGGGCAGCAAGGCACCGTGGAGTCGGGTCGAAATCCGTCTCCTGGAACATCACACTGTTCTCCTGATGTCCACTTGGCAGTCACTTCACACTGCCGTGTCTCCCGTCTCCTTTCTCTCTGCCCACGCTAGTGTGTCTCCTATCACTACCCTCCTTGCCCACGCAATTGTGTCTCCTCTCTCTCCCGGTGCTCACCACTGTGTCTCCTCTCTCTCCCCCTGCTCATGCTGCTGTATCTCCTGTCTCCTCTCTCCCCGCGCTCACCGCTGTGTCTCCTCTCTCCTCTGCCACACACACTGCTGTGTCTCCCGTGTATAATTCTCTGTGTTGCTATGGCCCTCGCTCCTGTTGGAGATGCGACTGTGCTGTTATTGTGCCAAAATGTACACCTCGCTGTAACCTGGTATTGCTGTAAAACGTGTTGTATACTTTTTATTTTTTACGTTTAATAAATAACTAACTCGGAGCGCCTGTGCGGGCCGGCGGCTGCTCTGTGACGCTGCGTGGGAGTGGGGCTTGCGCGTCAGCAGCGATCCCGGGGGTTTCCTGCGTGTGCGTGGTCGGGAGTCCCCGTGTGTTCACTGCCCACGCCGGGGCTGATCCTCGGCCGGGACCCCGCTGGACAAGGTGACCTCTGACCCCCCCGCCCCGGCGGGGCCGAGCCCGACCTGTGCCCTGGGTTCCGGGGTCGCGGTTCGTGCCGGGGCGGGCGGCTCAGCTGAGCCAGCAGCCCGTCTCCTGCTTTATTACTGTTTATTTTTTCTGAGCCTGGGCGGTTTTTTAAAAAAAAACAGGCTCCCCACCCAAAAAAGAAGGCTCTAGGAGCGGGCAGGAAGGCTGTTTTTAGAGAGGAGTGCGGTTTGCTCGGGCTGAGGGCGAGGCGGGAGCGCGGGAGAGAGAGACGGGCTCAGACGTCCCGCGGCTCGGCACCGGGACACACGC